GTAACTAGGGCAAATCCGGGGATCAAGTTCAGCTAGAGCGAATCGCGAGCGTTTGAAACTTACTATCGACGACCAACATCCGTAATAGCGGGATTGTTTATTAATATTTAATTAAATAATATTAGAACTAAAAAAAAATAGATAGACTACTAGAATTAGAACTAAATACGAACTTTCATTTTGGATGAAAAAAATCCTTTCATAATCTGCAAAATACTCTACTTTATTTTTCAATTAAATAGACAATATATATTAACAAGATACCTATACTTAGTTTACAATTAAAGTTAATTAAACAAGCATTATTATATTAAAAAAATTGAAATTGTTTATGTGCTTATATCGATTTTATGTGCTTGTATGATTCAACTTTTTTGCAATCGATTTTTTGTTAACGAGAAGTGGAACCTTTTATTAATTAAATAAGTTTTGTTAAAAGATTCTTTATGACTTTGAGGCCAATTTTCCTATAAATTCATTCACCATTAATTGACCAAAACTTTTGAATCAATTGATTAGAGGGGAAAAAATCAAGAAGAGGGGCAAAGCACCGTTAAAATGATTCTACTTGCATTAAACCAGTAAAATTGAACATATATATTATTTTGTTAAGTTATGTCCTAAAAATCAACGAGTGTCGTCATGGTAAAGTAGTCAATATGTTTAAGGAATGTAGCATGCTAGAATCACCTTCCTTGCATTTGTTTTGGTAAAAATTGTTGAAATACGAAAATTATAAAAAAAAAAATATTACTCTTGAAGAGTTTCAAACACAAGACCACCAATTTAATACCGGAATGGCTAACCAGCTGAACTACTAGAGATGTTTATTGTTAATATGAATTATCGAATATATAATCTAAACATTCTATCTATTATCAGCAAAAAAAAATCTTTTCAACAAATCCAGCTAAGGCGGCGTGGTCTAAATCCGCCATTGATTGTGTAGCGTATCAATTTCAAACCTTTAAAACTTTATTTCCCACCCCTCCTTACTTCATCTTTTCCCCCAAAAATAAAATGCCAAGAATCCCAGAACTTTAGAATGAAAATAATTACAATTGGGATTGTCGGAAATTTGAACTTAATTTGTAAAAATATAAAAATATTAGGTACTGTAATTACAATTATTCATTTTTAATTTTGACTTTTTTACTATTTTTAACAACAAATTTCAAACATGAGGTTTTTGGTGATTTTCAATAGTTATGGGTTATATCGCACATGGAAACATCTAGCGGGCTTTCTACTATTAATCCTTATATTTGGCGTGAAAGTTACTTTTAGTATTACCATG